CCCTGCGGAACTCCATGGCATAACTGCCATGGAGTTCCGCAGGGGTCCATTTTGTCCCCCTTGCTATTTAACATCTACATGAAACCGCTGGGAGAGGTCATCAGGAGGTGTGGGCTGCGGAGTCATCAGTACGCTGATGATACCCAGCTCTACCTCTCGTTCTCCACCAATCCAGGTGAGGCAGTGGCTGTACTGAACCAGTGCCTGGCCGAGGTAATGGGCTGGATGAGGGCCAATAAACTGAAGCTCAATCCAGACAAGACGGAGGTCCTGTTGGTGCGTGGTTCAGGCTTCGGGGTGGGGGATTTGGGCCTTGTCCTAAATGGGGTTGCACTCCCTCTGAGGGACAGCTTGGGAGTGCTCCTCGACCCTGAGCTGTTGTTAGAAGCTCAGGTGATGGCAGTGGCGAGGAGCACCTTCCTTCAGCTCCGGCTGATCCATCAGCTGCGTCCCTATCTGGAGAACGACTGCCTGGCGACAGTGACCCACGCATTGGTAACTTCCCGACTAGATTTCTGTAACGCGCTCTACATGGGGCTACCCTTGAAGACGGTCCGAATACTTCAATTGGTGCAAAATAGAGCTGCCAGGTTGCTGACGGGGACTGGGCGTTGTTCTCATATAACCGTAGTTCTCCGTCAGCTTCACTGGCTCCCTATTGAAGTCCAGGCCCAATTCAAGGTGTTGGTTATGACCTATAAAGCCCTTAACAGCTTGGGACCTGTTTATCTAAAGGAACGTCTGCGTCCATATATGCCCACCCATCCCCTACGATCGGCAGCAGATGCTCTTCTCTGGGAACCCTCCGTGAAGGATATTAGGAGGATGAGTACCCAGAGGAGGGCCTTTTATGTGGTGGCGCCCCACCTATAGAATGCGTTCCCCAGGGAGGTCCGCCTGGTGCCGTCATTATTTGCTTTTCAGCGCCAGGCGAAGACCTTTTTATTTAAAAGTTATTTTAACTGTTAATTTATTATTATTGTATTTATAGCTTTTAATATATATAGCCGAGATAGTACCAGTTTTTAAATTATTGATTGTATTTTTATGTTTATTTTATGGATGTTGTGAGCCGCCCCGAGGCTTTGTTGCAATGGGGGCAGCATAGAAATGTATTAAATAAATAAATAAAAGAAGTTGAATATGCTGGTTCCTTACCTATCTGTGGTATAAACAGCCATGCTTTGAATATTCTTTTCCTCTTTTGCTTGGTTTTGCAGATCTTTGATATTTTCACTGAGTTTCTTTTCAGCTTGCTCAGCCTTCCATCTCTTCTCTCTCTCCTGATCCAGTTCTTGAATTAGTGCCTGAACAAGAGAGAAAAATATTCTGGTGGTACAGCTAAAAATATAATCAGCTAGCTTGACAGAATCACTTACTTTTGTTGTAAGAAAAAAGATGCATTTGGCACTGATAAATATCTCCTTTGTACGCACAAAGATATCAAGTTATATAGCCATTACTCTGAAAACGCAAGCCTTTGCAACATAGAAAATGAGTAAGAAGGGGGTCAAAATGCTAGCTGAAATGTCAAGACCAATGCACTTTGAGATAGGCAAAGCAGCTGATGAGAATAAAACTGCCCCTACTTTGGTGGTGACATTGTACAACAGGAAGGTTCAGAAGGAGAAGGATATAACTTGATCAGTGGTTTGACAACAGGTCACTCAAGTGGACTCAGGTCTGGCCCATTAGTAGCAAAAACCTTCCAAAGAGTGGTGCCAATTCTGTTTGGTGGGGATGGGAGGAGGAGAATTCAATGTGGCATCAACTCTGACATGAGCAGGGGTAAGTTTGCAATCAGAGGGCTCACTGACTTGACGGATGCTTCTTGCTAATGACCTTTCTATTGCTTACTTTGTCTCACAACACCAGAGCTGGCTGGCCAGTTTTAACATAATGAATTTTTGTAGTTTGACGTCTCTTGTCTTCATCTGCTGGGAAGAGAAATGGCGAGAAGCTGCAGGGCAGAGGGACCAGCTCACAACAAGCAATATCTGGAGGCTGCACTGTATGATCACATCACACTGTTGTAAACCATCCTAAGATGTTAGTAATGAGATGGCCTATAAAATCTTTAAATACATATATAATAAGTAAATAGTAAATACCCACAAGAAATCCTGAACACCAAGGATTAACATCCAGGACACTCTCAATGGCTTGCAGCCTAGCTAGGCCTTGGTGAATGAAAGTGCTGTTTGTATTCAGCAGTGGGACTGAGATCCAGAAGAAGATCCCAAACAGAAAGGATCAGATAATTTCTTACCAATTCCCTCCTTCCCTTTCTCCCTAGCATTGGGCAGCCTCTATCAATATAGGCAGGGTCTCCCAGAGCAGCATTTCAGGAAGGTTATAGAGAAGTTGTAGAAAGTTGTCTCCCCATGCTAGCTCACAGTCTACAAAAAGCACCCTATTAAAAGGGAAAGACTCAGGATCCCAAGTTTGAAATCTAGGGGTTCTAACCTCTATGCTGAAGAAAAGCTAGAATAGTTTTAAATCAAATTTATTTTCTTGCTGGTTTCTATGGGAAAACCATGTTAGCCAATGTTACATAAAATTAAAAAATTAAAAATATTTACCCTGTAAGTTGACTCTTCTTGAGTACTAGAAGCCACACTTTTTAGGGCTTTCTTCTGAATTTTCTGCCCACCCAATTTTTGGGATGATTGCCCCACTACTTCCAGACTTGGTATTTCTGAAGACGGACTTGAATTTTCTTCTTCTTTGACTTGGCATAACTGCTTTCTTGACTTTATGCAAGTCTGTACTTCTCCCCTAAAATGGCACAGAAAGTAAGTGTGTGTGCGCGCATGCGCGCGCACACACACACACACAGGGGTGAGGGAGGGAAGGTGACCCCATTAGAATACATCAGGATCTGAGATAAAGACTTGTATTTGCAAAGTAACTCCTAAATACATAAAAACATTACAATGGAAAAGTTCGCAAGTGTCCTTAAGATTATAGATGTATGGGTAATTACAGTAATATGCAAATACCTAAAAGCAACAATTGAATTTTCAATATTTTTCAAATATGACAGCTTGATTTATTTTATTCTTTTTAATATTTTCAATACCTAAGCTAATATGCAACCAAGCTAGATATTTTATACAAAATTAAGAGGATCCATCAACAGGAACCCAAATGGTTTTCTAGCCTGCTTGTACCCATATTTACATGTAAACCAAGTTACATTCAACTGTACATTCAACTCTTTGTTGTAAACTACTCAGAAAGCATCAGCTGCAGGTGATGTAGAAATGAAATAAATTGTAACTATTGAACTTTTCCAAAACTTGCCAATGAAGTGAGCTCAATCAAGATCAAAGCTCAGGGACCAAGGTTCAATTTGGATGCCAGAAAGTACTTCCTGACAGTTAGGACCCCAAGGGTATGTAATGGGCTTCCTCAGGAGGTAGTTGGTGAGGGTGTTCAAGGATAGGCTGGACATGCACATGGTAGGCATATCATGAGCAGAGCCAGCTGGAGCCAGGGGTCAGACTAGAAGGCCCAGGAGGTTCCTTCTGACTCACTCTGTTTCTGTGTATCTACTAGATGTACATAAATGGGAAACCCTTTTTATTCTCCCATTTTATTGATAATGTATTTTAATTCATTATAGCAAGTGTTGGCACTAAGGAGTTTTTCACTATTTTATGGCTGTAATATGGTTTTTATATATATTTGTATTTTTGACTTTTTATGTAAACCATCTTGAGATTTTACAAAAATCAGATGGTATATAAGAAATTGAAAATAAATAGCAAGATTTTATGCTTGCACACAAAGAAACAAGTTCCACTGAATTCAATAATGTTAACCTCCTGGTAAATGCATATAGAAGTGTATGTTATCCTAGAAGTAAGCCTAGCCAAATAAAGTACCTGTCTGAGATTTTCCCTCTCTGAGAGTGATTCTTGGTAGAAAAAGTTGTTTTTCGATTATAAGGGAACCTGCTTCTTTTTGCCACCTTTCTGTTTTCTTTTCCACTTTCGCCATCACTCTCCGAAGTGACATCAGTCTCTCTCTTGGCTTTCAGAACATTCTGAGCAGTGCCACCTTTTGAAGAATTAGCCACCTAAAAAATAGAAGCATTCTTTCAGAGTTCATTTTTAATCCCACTTCATCTTCAGACTCATCAGTTTTAGACGGAGAGGTCTCTGGTCAGAAAGGCCAATTACACTGGAAGCCACTTGCAGCATAGTATCCATCTATTATTACCTGAAGCAGCAGTTGTAAAGAATTCATTCCATCAAGTGCCCCCCAGCTTCTGAACTGTGTGACCTTTGGCACCTTCTAGTCAGACCCACAGTACTGCCACTCCATGGACAAATAATGGACTCATACTGCACTCCATGGACTGTTCATGCTGTCATTTGGGACTATGAAAACTAAAGAGGCTCTTTCATCATATTCTGCCAAATGGACTGAACCTGCTTTTCATTAACACTGGCCATGCCAGCTAGAAATGAGGAAAGTTGTAACCCAATCCATCTAGAGAGCACCAAATAGGAGGAAGGCCAGTTTAAAGCATAGGTACATGACTTATAATGAACACTGTTCAGTAATGATACGTAGTTGTAGGCACTTGGAATCACTGAAAAAGCAATGACGATGACAAAAAAATCATCTGTGAATAGAGGTATCTGATGTGAAAAAGCTAAGCTACATCTGCCTTCTGTCCCTTCCTGTTTCAGGTTGGTACAAACTAAAATGACTTACTGTATCAGAGTAACCCACCAAAGACTACAAGAGATTAGCAACACAGAATGTGCATCCAAGACTACTTCATCTTGCACAACTGCCAATATGGCCAATATTACTAGATCTATTAAGAGTTTCCAATATTCCCCTGGTTTCCTTGTAGAACATTAGACTTACAGTCACATAGTGCAGCTGTATCAGATTAAAATACACCAGCATATAAACATTTGCTAAGCTAGACTGGAAAAGATAAAAATGTGTCACCTTTTCCATGAGGTGCGCTATCTGAGCCTCTAGTTTTTTAATTCTTATGTCACTGTCAAGTTTAATCCTTTCCTGCTCAGAAGAGGATATGATCTCAGTGGCAGAGGTAGTGCTGGGCCAGGTTGATCTATCTGCATGCTGACGAAACTGAGCTAACACTTGATCAATGCAGGGTGTTATCACAGGCAAATCATCCCAAACCTATTGGAAAGAAAAACAAATTATAAGTAATGAAAAAGAAAGCACATATTGCTCCCATGTTTTTGAACAGAAACAAAATAAAGTCACAGCACCTCTTCTTTATCAACTGGAGAACTGGACGAAGCCAAACAGTCTAAAAGTCCTTCCAAACACTTCAAATCTGATGAGTTTGCTTCCATTGAGTTTACTGGTTCACCAAATATATTCTTTCCATCTAGGACAGTTAGCTGGGGTAAAGCCTGAAGCAGGATCTCTCTGTAACCTTAAAAATAGAAAAGATATTATTTCCCATGCTTTGTTTTCAGTATCACTGAAAGGGTGGCAAGTTTGCCTCATTATATAAATATCTGAATAATTGAATAAATGAACATTCAATTATCTGAAAAGAACACTACTTGCTGAAGAAGTAAAGTAAAAGCTTGGAATCTTTTGCCAGCAGAAAAACTCATCTGTACATGGAAGGGCTGTTTCTGATCTGAATGATGAAATAGGAACTTTGCCTTCCAATCCAAAGCAATTCTCTTTCTAGTACAAACTCTTTAGCAAGACCTTTCTATTGCCCACCAGATTCATGTGCTGGAGCAGCCCACAGCTATATATTGTACACATAGTTCTTACCTATTTTGGCACACACTGGATTACTTTTTCCATTTTTCTCTAAAATAAGTTTGGTCAGATACTGTAATCCACACAGGCACTGAAGTAAATGGTTAACATTACCAATACAATTGCTGTGAAGCTCAATGTGACTAATTTTATAATTGGGTCCACGGAGATATAAAAATCCTGTAAAAATAGATGCAAGCTGTCAACATTTTCAGGAGGCATGTCCTTAAAGGTGATTGTATTAAACTAGTTTAAAGAAAGAAATCAAGAATAAACATTTCCCATCTCTCTATACAATACTTCAGATTTATGTGATCTAAATTGTTAACCAAATCTTCACAGCAGCGAGAACTGTTGCAAGCCAAGCCTAGCCCAAGTGGTAGAATTTGGCATATTGTTAGAGAACAGTAAAATGTCCATATATCATAAAATTCTCTGCACACAGGAGGAGTTACCATCTGAACTGGAAGCTATTTATAAATATCAAGTTCTCTGATGAAGGTACTAGGACATTTGCCCCAATGGGACAAAGACATTAAAAGTAAACTCTGCAAGACAACTCTAGGTGTATTAAGTACTGCAGACATTTGACCAAATCCCATCATAATCTTTCAAAATATATGGCTAAATAATTCCTTTGCAACAGACTTCCAGCAAAATTCCTAAATTAAGCATTTAAAGTAGCATGTTTCTTAGATGTTTTTCCAGAAGACTGCAATGCTACACAGTTATCTATGATTAAATCCCATCAAATTCAGTAGATCTTAGTTCTGAATAGGCTACATCGTACTGAAGTTATTAATTTTTTTTTTTACCTGTGAGATCATCTATGCGGTTGTAAGACAAATTTAATTTAGTTAAATTAAATAACTTTTCCAGTCCTGGGGGGAAAAGGTAAAAAAGTAAAGATTAACTGACTATACAGAAAATATGAATAATATATATAAGCAAATAAGCAAGAATTGCAATCAGGGATGTCAGCCATTTAAATGAGTTTGGATTTCTGTGAATCCAGTCTGAAGATTTCACAGCAAACAAGCTTTTTCAGAGTAATGTAGAATTTGCAGACCTAATGTTCTGGGGTTTGGGGGCTTAGCAAATTTGTACTAGCACCAATGTACAACTGTGCAAATGCACTAATCCATACTAGTTAATCTGCATTAACACTGATTCACATTAACTAATGTGGATTAACATGTTTGCAAAAGTGCAATGAAATTTTGCTTTAAAAACTGATTCCATCAATGAGCAAATAATGGGATGAAAACTACCTAAGAATCCACAAAACACAAACAAAAATGGATCTAATAAAATTGTGCAGCCCTACTATATTACACTATTGCAGAGTGCAATGCTTCTGTTCAGGATTCCAGCTGTACTCAGTTTGTCCTCTCCTGAGTTCTATCTCTTCAATTAGTCAGCACTCTAAGGTGTCTCCTTCATAGATCACTGCCTTGTCATGGCAAAGAGGCTTGCATAGCTCAATGAAGCTATGAGCTATGCCGTGCAGGGTCACCTAAGATGGACAGGTCATAACAGAGAGCTCTGACAAAACATGATCCACTGGAGAAGGAAATGGCAACCCACTCCAGTATCTTTGCCATGAAAACCCCATGGACAGTACCAAAAGCAAAAAGATATGACGCCAGAAGATGAGCCCCTCAGGTTGGAAGGTGTCCAATATGCTAATGGGGAAGAGCAGAGAGCTAGTACTAGTAGCGCCAGAAAGAATGAAGCGACTGGGTCAAAGCCGAAAGGATGCTCAGTTGCAGATGTATCTGGTGGTGAAAGGAGAGTCTGATGCTGCAAAGATCTATACTCCATAGGAACCTGGAATGTAAGATCCATGAATCAAGGCAAGTTGGATGTGGTCAAACAAGAGATGACAAGAATGAACACTGACATCTTAGGAATCAGTGAACTAAAATGGACAGGAATGGGTGAATTTAATTCAGATGGCCATCAGGTATACTACTGTGGGCAAGAATCCCTCAGAAGAAATGGAGTAGCCTTCATAGTCAATAAAAGAGTAGGAAAAGCAGTACAGGAATACAATCTCCAAAATGACAGAATGATCTCAGTTTGAATCCAACGCAAACCATTCAACATCACAATAGTCCAAGACTATGCCCCAACCACTGGTGCTGAAGAAGCTGAAGTAGACCAGTTCTATGAAGGACTACAACACCTTCTAGAATTAACACCCAAAAATGATGTCCTTATCATCATGGGGGATTGGAATACTAAAGTAGGAAGCCAAAAGATAACCAGAATAACAGGCAAGTTTGGCCGTGGAGTACAAAATGAAGCAGGGCACAAGCTGGTAGAATTTTGTCAAGAGAATGTGATGGTCATAGCAAACACTCTTTCCCAACAACCCAAGAGACAACTCTACACATGGACATCACCAGACGGTCAACACAGAAATCAGATTGACTATGTGCTCTGCAGCCAAAGATGGAGAAGCTCTATACAGTCAGTAAAAACTAGACCAGGAGCTGACTGTGGCTCAGATCATGAGCTTCTGGTTGCAAAATTTAGGCTTAAGTTGAAGAAAGTAGGGAAAAGCACTAGGCCACTCAGGTATGACCTAAATCATATCCCTGATGAATATACAGTAGAGGTGACAAATAGATTTAAGGAATTAGATCTGATAGACAGAGTGCCTGAAGAACAATGGACAGAGGTTCGCAACACTGTACAAGAGGCAGCAACTAAAACCATCCCAAAGAAAAAGAAATGCAAGAAAGCAAAATGGCTATCTGAGGAAGCTTTTCAAATAGCTGAGGAAAGAAGGGAAGTGAAAGGCAAGGGAGAAAGAGAAAGATACACCCAACAGAATGCAGAATTCCAGAGAATAGCTAGAAGAGATAAGAATGCCTTCTTAAATGAACAGTGCAAAGGAATAGAAGAAAACAATAGAATAGGGAGGACCAGAGATCTCTCCAAGAAGACTGGAGATACGAAGGGAACGAAGGGAACGTTTCATGCAAAGATAGGCATGATAAAGGACCAAAATGGCAGGGACCTAACAGAGGCAGAATTGATTAAGAAGAGGTGGCAAGATTACACAGAAGAACTACACAAGAAAGAGCTTAAGGTCCCTGATAACCACGATGGGGTGGTAACTGACCTCAAGCCAGACATCCTGGAATGTAAAGTCAAATGGGCCTTAGGCAGTCTGAGCAGCAACAAAGCTAGTGGAGGTGACAATATTCCAGCTGAGCTATTCAAAATCCTAAAAGACGATACAGTAAAAATGTTATACTCAATATGCCAGCAAATTTGGAAAACTCAACAGTGGCCACAGGATTGGAAAAGGTCAGTTTACATTCCGATCCCAAAGAGGGGCAATGCCAAAGAACTTTCAAACTACCTTACCATTGCACTCATTTCACATGCTAGCAAAGTGATGCTCAAAATCCTACAAGCTAGGCTCCAGCAGTATGTGGACCGAGAACTACCAGAAATACAGGCAGGATTTCTAAGAGGCAGAGGAACTAGAGATCAAATTGCCAACATACGCTGGATCATGGAGAAAGCTAGGGAGTTCCAGGAAAATATCCACTTCTGCTTCATTAACTATGCTGAAGCCTTTGATTGTGTGGATCACAACAAACTGTGGCAGTTCTTAAAGAGATGGGAGTACCAGACCATCTTATTTGTCTCTTGAGAAACCTATAAGCGGGTCAAGAAGCAACAGTGAGAACTGGGCACAGAACCACTGATTGGTTCAAAATTGAGAAAGGAGTTCAGCAAGGCTGTATACTGTCGTCCTGCCTATTTCACTTATATGCAGAACAATCATGAGAAAGGTGGGGCTAGATGAATCACCAGTTGGAATTAAGATTGCCGGAAGAAATATCAACAACCCCAGATATGCAGATGATACCACTCTCATGGCAGAAAATGAAGAGGAACTAAAGAGCCTCTTGATGCGGGTGAAGGAGGAGAGCACAAAAGTTGGCTTGAAACTCAACATTAAGAAAACTAAGATCATGGCATCCGGTCCTCTCACTTCCTGGCAAATAGATGGGGAAGAAATAGAGTAAGTGACAGATTTTATTTTCCTGGGCTCCAAGATCACTGCAGACGGGGACTACAGCCAAGAAATTAAAAGACGCTTGCTCCTGGGGAGGAAAGCTATGGCAAATCTAGACAGCATACTAAAAAGCAGAGACATCACCCTGCCAGGAA